TATAAAGATACAAAGAGGGCTTTTGTTGGAACTCCTATGGATACAGACTCACTGAATTAAGAGCATCCCTGTTAGGAGCTGGGGAGATAGCCTTGCTTGTACAGGGAGAGGAGCACCCCACAGTAGAGAAAGGTGAAAGGAGAAAACAATGAATTGCTCAGACTGGTGATCCTTGTACCCTATATGGGGAAACTAGAGAGAAATTCTCTGTGCCTGCAAATGGGTGACAGCGACTTTTGCAGTAGCCCCCACTGGTGTCCCTTTCATTTGGACAGTCTCCTGAGACCTTCCCATGAACTCAGATCACACTTCAGCAGCTGGAGGTGCCAGATTACTTGGCTGGTAGAGAATTCTTTCTCTGACCCTCCAGCAGCCCCCAAGTTTCACTTACCCCACTCCTTTCCGAAGTGTGTAAGCCCAACAGTCCTGAACTGAACCCTCTACCCATTAGCTCAAGGGCATTCTCTCTGTAGGTTGCTCTAAGACCAATGCACTAGGCAAATGTAGATGAATACAATAGGAATCTTTGTCTTCAGAAATGTGTGTTAAGGTGCCTATGGGATGAAAAGAGAAGCAGAAATTAGGATCTCTTCAAAGAATTCAGTTAACAATAGAAATATCAAAAAGAAAAAAGGGCCTTTTTGTTTCTACGAAATGATGGATTTGAGAAGATAAATGTAATAATCACTGCAAATCTAGGAATAACATGCTTTTAGCAAAAACTGTCATTAGGAAAACTTACTTTCAATATCATTTTAAAATACCAGCATAATTCTGGGTTGTTAAAATAAAAGTATTAAAAGATGAACTCTCACGATCCACAAATTCCTAGAAGGATTACCCAGCAGTCATTATTAGGAGGCAAGAGTTCATTACACATACTCATCTTTTTTTTTTTTTTTTTTTGGTTTTTTTTTTCAGGGTTTCTCTGTGTAGCTTTGCACCTTTCCTGGAACTTGCTTTGGAGACCAGGCTGGTCTCGAACTCACAGAGATCCACCTGCCTCTGCCTCCCGAGTTCTGGGCTTACTCATTTCTATAAATACTTACACACACACACACATGCACAACACACACACACACACACACACACACACACACACACACACACACACACATCCCAGCACAGCTCCAGTTTTTTTTTTTGTTGTAAGACCTTTTAAGATTTGTGTTACACCACAGGTTACATTTACATGTTTATTCATTTACCTGTATATGTAGCAACAATGGCTAAAGAAGAGGCTGTGAGTTTGGGGGAAGGCAGACCTGAGGAGGGTAGAAGGGAGGAAAGGGGGGAATGGTGTAATTATATTTTTATTTAGTTCTCTATATTTTCATACAATATATTTTGATCACATTCTTTCTCCTCCCCTAGTACCTCCTAGATCCTACTCACCTAAATTCATGAGCTTTCTTTCTCCTCCCCCCTTAAAAAAACACACACAAAAAAAAACTTCAAACCATAACAAAAGAAGCACACAAAACAGTATGGAGTCCACTTTGTGCTGGCCAACTATTCCTGAGCATGAGGTCTGCCCCAGACTGCGGTTGATATACCAAGTGTCACTCTGTCAGAACACAGTCTGAAGATGGAGCCATGTCAGGAGAATTCTGAGTGCTTGTGAGAAAACTCCAAGAAAACAAGAGTCTTGTGACCTCAGTTTCTTCAAAACACGCAATTATTCTTGAAATCTGTTTTGGTGCCTCTCCCGGGTGTAGTGGATAGGAGTGAGTTTACTTCCAATTATTCATTACAACTGGCTATTGTTGTTTGTTTATATATTTCTATGGAAAAACATGTTTCTGCCACTCTGTAGCTTCCCTGCCATGTGTGTCTTGCCCTTGTGATTGTACACTTCACTCATGTGACTCCTGTTTACCCTCAAAGCATAAATTGTCCGATGCTCTGAATAAACTTGGCTATTGTGTGAGACCCTAATCGACCTCCTTTATTGACTTCATTCTCCCAGGCCTCACTGCCAACTGGAGCAGAGACATCACTCCACCAGAGAAAACTAATTTTTTTTAGCAGGCATTAATTGCAAATAGCTTCTTAGTTCCCCTTCTGCATGCTGGCATTTTATCCAACTTGAATTTGTGCAGGCCTTAGGCCTGCTATTACAGTCCCTGTGAATTCATATGGGCAGTATCCCTGCTGTGTCTGGAAGACACTGTTTCCTTGGAGTCTTCCACCACCTCTGGCTCTTTTCATCTTTCTGACTTTTATCCTGCATAGATCTATGAGTCTTGAGGGAAGGGATTTAATATAGACAACCCATTTAGAGCTGAGTGCTCCAAGATCTTGTGCACACATTGTCCAGTTGTGAGTCTCTATGTTAATTCCCAGGATAAGGGTGAGTGAGGCACTGATCTATAGGTATAGAATACATCATCAGGAGTCATTTCATTGCTCTATTCATTTAGCAGAACAATAGTAGGTTTTCCCCTTGGGTCCACGACCTATCAAGTCTCAGGTTCTCAGCCTCATTAGCAGTGTCAGATATGGGTTCCATGTCTTAGAGTAGGTCTTACATCTAATCAAAAGGAGATTGGATAATTTCATATTTATGCCACTATTGCACCCATGTATCTCTGCTATAGATCACAGAGTTTGTAGCCAGGGGTGGGGGAGGGGTGATATTGATGATTGCTTTTCCCCTATGGTAGCGAGTTTAGTAACTTTCAGCAGTATGAATGCTGTTCAGTAGTGGTGAAGCTTCTGGTTGAGTGTGAGTTAGCTTTCTCCATGTTTTACTCCATAAGTATGTACATCTTCAGGAACAGGTCCTTACTGTAATGTTGTGGAGCGTAACCAATGGAAAGGGTAGGTGCAATGTTGTAATTCTATTTAAACTTTTTAAAAATTAAAGTTATAGGCAGAAAACAAAAAGCCCACCTCTTGTGGTTTCAGCACTGATATCTCAGAGCAGTACAATCTCCTTAGCAGTGACTCGGCCAAAATACCATGCCTCTGCCTCACTGGCTGCAGGCTAGCACACGCTGTTCAATTGCCTCTGCCGTGGCCTTCTTGTCCTACCCCTCCTACTAGCCTGTGCAAGTCTTTCCTTCCTCCTGAGACACACCTGAGAAGAAAGTATCAAGGGGACAAAGCTGCTCTCCTCCCATCTGTAGACAAGGCCAGGTAAGGAAGAGTACTACACATACTGTTACCCCAGGGCTCCCCAGTAGGTCTGCGAGTCCAGCCTTCCTGGCTTCTAATACAAAGCTCATGACTTCCGTGTGTCTGTTCTTTCTAATATCAGCTTATAAACTTATGATACATAAATCCTAAACTACTGCCATAAGGGACTGAGTAGATTTTTAAAGCACTCTGGCTGTGTGAATGGCCAGAAATGGCCATTCTTGCATAACCATAGACAATGTCCCCTAGTCTGTTCAAGTTAAAGAATTACTCCAGCTTTCTGAGCTATTGCCTGACTCCACACTGCAAATCTTCTCAGTGGAATTAAACCACTTACCACTGTTTGCTTTTAATAAACTTCAAGTTCTGTACCAAGTACCTTTTAGAATCTGTTAATTGACTACTCCAAGTCACAAGCCAATCAGTGAAAGTTTCTTCACTTGGGGCTGGAGATATGGCTCCCTGCTGGAGAGTGCTTACTGCTCTTGTAGAGAAGCCCAGTTCAGTTCCCAGAATTCATATCAAGCAGCTCACCAACACCTGTAACTCCAGCTACAGAGGATCTGAAACCCTCATCTGGCACCACAGTTATCTGCACACACATGCACCCAAACCCACACAAACACACACACACATGCATAAGTAAAAATAAAATAAATATTTTTTCAGAAAAAAAAGCTTCTTCACTAGCAAGCCTGATTTATATGGGTTGAAATATTAATATGGAGCATGGGTGACACACTAGATACCATAAATGGGCTCAGTAGTGTGACTTCCAAGCTATTAGCTTATCATTAACACTTAAAAATAAAATGCTTTACCACAGTGCAATAGATAACTGACATATTTTGCTCTGTGTGTTTTCTTAAACTAATTCTAGACAAACGTCTTGGAATTTACAATTAGTTGTGACCATTCATTACCCTAAAGACATGGTATTAAAACACATTTGTCCTGTTATCCCTTTTATCAAGCTTAAGAAATGGACTACACATGGCCAAGACTGAAGCAAACATGTTTCCTCTGGCATCTTCTGACTTGGAAGACAAAGGTTTAGTGCTGTGCGCAGCCTCTGCAGGATGATGCCGTTCCTTTTCTCATTGGAAAACAGAGAGAACACTGACTAATCTCATCCAGGTTCCAAGATGGATAACCCAGTTGTGAGTAAACGCCAATGATAGATTTTGTGTGTTCACGTGTGTTCTTTAAGAAACCACCTACAATTTACATACAATTTAATTATCTTGTGACATTTATTTAACCAGGAGGAAAAAATCGACACATTTGAAGAGCATGCTAGGATTCAATTACATTAAAAACAAAAATGACTGAACATCCTGTGTTCTAAATGTGCAATAGTTTTATTAAGGAGAACATTATATTGTTACATAATCCCAATGAGAACCAAATCTTTGTAATATTTTTTAAAAGGTATCTGCATAAGTTTATAACCTGGCAATATGCCAACCATTTGACATGATACAATTGTTTACATTTTCAGCTTCATTTTCTACCATTTCAACACACACACACACACACACACACACACACACACACACACACACACACACACACACTACTTGAACTCTGAAGGTCTCCCTGTCTCTTCTGAGCCCCATTTTAACTTTTGATGGGGAAAACATGGCAATTGAACTTGAGGAAGTCAGAAATATATTTTCAGAAGTTCTCTACATTTAGTCTACAGGGGGCAGTGCTTTCTTTGGCAAAGATGACTGACTTTCCTTAAGAACAGTGCTATTCACAGATAAAAGGAAAAGGAAATGAAGTCAGTAGAGGAAGAAGTCAGAGCTGCAGCCATCTGAATAGAAGACGAGACACATCACATCTTCAGAGAAAGAATGGCCAACCTCCGTGGGGCCGTGCTGTTGGTTCTGTGGCTTCTGCCAGAATGTAAGTCGCAGAGAGGGTGTTTGAAGTGGTAGGCAATCTCCAAGGACTGCTCCAAGAAAATGAGATGATTGGGAGATTTTTGCTTTGTTTTGTAGGAACATTAAGAAATTTTTAAACCCATAACTCTCTTTCCAAACAGGGGTAAAGAGTCAAGAGAAGAATGATGGCCAGGAGGTTAGGCAAAATTCTCCATCTCTGACTGTTCAAGAAGGAGGGATTTCTATCCTGACTTGTGACTACAATAATAATATGTTTGACTATTTTGCTTGGTACAAAAAATACCCTGCCAACAGCCCTACATTCCTGATATCTCTCCGTTCAAATGTGGATAAGAATGAAGACGGAAGATTCACAATCTTCTTCAACAAAAGCGGCAAACGTTTCTCACTGCACATTGCAACCTCCCAGCCCGGAGACTCAGCAATGTACTTCTGTGCCGCAGGTGCACAGTGCTCTGCACATGCCCAAAGCCTCTATCCAAACTCACAGCTGGGCCCCAAGCAAGGCCCTGACTCGGGTTCCAAACAAGGGCATCTGTGACCTTATTTCCGTTGTACATAGAAGCATGACGGAGTGTGGCTGAAAGTTGGTGAGGCAAAATCAGCTTTACAGGAAGGCTAGACATGATAAATACACCTGACAAGCTCCACAGATAAATGGAGCATCAGGTTTGGTGGAGTACACAAAGTCCCAGTACTTGGGAAACTAGACAGGAAGAGCACGGGTTCAGGGCTACCTTGGGCTACATAGTGGATTTTAAGCCTGGGATATACAGTGAGATCATGTCTCAAAAAGCCTGAATAAATACATACTAATAATACAAACTAGTAGACAGACAGAGAAAGTTCTCCAAGATCCCAAGTGCTAAGTGGTCTGTTGGCTGATTCGGCCTTCAGAGGGAGGCTGCTGAGTTTGCCAGAGCAGAAGTCTCTCACTACACACTGATTCTTTTGTTGTCATGTTCCTTTCGCTTTTATTTCACTTTTTTCTTTTTTGTTGCTTTTTGTATTTTAGAGGGGGGTTGTTTGTATTTCTGTGTTCACTTTTTTCTTTCTCTCTTTTTTATTGCTTGTTTTTATTTATTTTTTAATCTCTCTTTTACCTTATTTTACTGTTTTTCTTTGTTTTAAACATCCTTCGATCCTGAGCTAAGAACATCCTGTCTTTCCTGTGCCCGTATTTGGAGGGAGGAAACTAGGGGTCTCCACCAAATGTTTTCCCCTTGGAAAGTGTCCGCATTAAGTGCTTAAGTTTTGAGTAAAATAAACAAAACAACCTTTGATTATTTGTTTCTGCATGGTTCCAATTTTACATTAAATATAGCTGAAGGTGTCCATGCTATGAGTCAATTTCCTTTGTTTCTTTGTTTAAACACACAGTTCTCCTTCCATAAATCATTAATTGTACACTCTTTTCCCAGGCTGACATTCAACTGCTTAACACACTATCCAGTAGCAATTTTGTCCTATGGCAATTGTGTCAAAGAGCCTGCCAAAATGCAAAGACCTTGTTCTTCATAGACATAATGGCCCTGTACTGATGTAGATAAAAGAGATGGAGCAACTATGGCTCAAGGTTGGAAGTTAAGAACCAAGCTAAGGTCATTAAAATATCATAAAATCTTAGAAGATATGAGGAATTCCTAAACTTTTAATTAAGAATCTCCCCTTATCCCAGAATACAGACAGTTCTACTTCAAAGTGATGTCATTGAAATGGGGAGCTCTTTCTTTCCTATGTGGGCATGACTTAAGGGCAGGACCAAAGAAAATGTTTGGATCCTTTACATTCTGACTTCCACTATCAATTCATATGGCCACTGATAATTCTATTAATTAATCATATGTTTCCTTTTAGTAAATAGGAGTTAGAACAAAATAAAATCTGTTTCCTCATCTCTCAGGAGCAATATGATTCCACACACGTCAAACCTTTACTGGTCATTTTTTAATGCTTTTCATTTATATGGTGAAAAAAAAAGATGTTAGTAATTCTGAATTTCTATGAACAATTTTTTGTTCTGTAGACCTAGAATTGTTTATAATACCATAAATATAGAATTACATTATAAGCCAAAGCATCCCAACCATTAGAAGAAGCACAACATGAACTACCATGACTTCTCAGAAAAAAATTGCTTGAGTAGGCATGCCTATGTACAAATGCATGCATGCACACATTTGTATTCACATAAGATTTATTAAGTAACTTTCTCATGTTTTTTTTCTTCACAAAAATCTGAATCTTTTGCAGTAAGCCAGACTCAAAATAACAAAAACTGCCTGTTTTCTCTCATATGCAGAATGTGTGTGTGTGTGTGTGTGTGTGTGTGTAAGGAACACATACACATATATTGGGAAACTATTTGGGAAGAAGGAAACTGATGGGAAAGTTAGAGGGTAAAATTGGAAAAATTGGTAAATATGATCAAAGTACGTTATATGCACTATGAAAATGTGACAGTGAAATCATTATTGTAGTTACTAAAGCTGATACTTTCCCTAAAGTCTCACTACAAATGTATAGGTGGCCATCAGTTTCCTGTTTCAGAGCTAAAAAATGGAGGCAAAGCCAGGAGGCAGAGCCAGGCAGATCTCCGTGAGTTCAAGCCAGCCTGGTTTACAGAGCGAGATTAAGGACAGGCACCAAAACTACACAGAGAAACCCTGTCTCAAAAAACAAACAAACAACAACAAAAAAAATAAGGCAAAATGTTCTCTATCCAGGGTTAGACCCATAAAGAGCCCATCCACAGAGACTTGTCCAGTTCTTAACAGCAGCCATTAATTTTTTATGTTTCTCTCTGCCTAAAGGTTATATTCACAAACTTTTCTAATCTGAGGGACAAGTGTGTGTGTGTGTGTGTGTGTGTGTGTGTGTGTGTGTGTGTGTGTGTAAGAAGGAAGGGGGAGAAAGAGACAGAAAGACTTCATTTCAATTGGACTTAGAGATAAGATCTGGAGCTGTGACCTATCTTCAGACACCATGGAGGCCCTGCCTCTTGCTGTTGAATACAGTGTGTTGCATCCTCCCAGCCACGGCACACACTATTCAGTGAAGCATACATATTTGCTGCTGCCGAGTTAGCTTTTGGACAATAATGGTGCATAACCCCAAGTCTATATATATAATTTTTATTAAAAAAAGAATTTCTTTCTTTTTACATACCAACTCATTCCCCCTCCCTCCTCTTCTGCTCTCCCCACCTACTCCTATCCCACCCCCATTCCCTCCTAATAGAGAGTAAGGCCTCCCTTGGGTAGTCAACATAGGTTGTTATACCATGTTGGGGCCTAGACCTAACCCCTCCTTCCTGCATCAAGGCTGAGTAAGGCATTGCGCCATAGGGAATGGGCTCTAAAAAGCCAGTTTGTGTACCCGGGTAAGTCCTGGTCCCATTGCCAGAAGACCCACAAACACATCAAGCCACACAACTTTCACCCACATTCAGAGTGCTTAGTTCTGTCCCATGCAGGCTCCCCAGATGCCAGTCCAGAGTCCATGAGCTCCCACTAGCTTGGGTCAGCTATTTCTGTGATTTTTTTTTTCCCATCATGATCCTGACCTTGTTCTTATAATCCTTCCTCCCTCTCTTCAACTGAACTTCAGGATCTTGGCCAAGTGCTTGGCTGTGGGTCTCTGCATCAGCTTCCATCAGTCACTGGATGTAGGTTCTATGATGACAATTAGGGTAGACACCAATCTGAGTGCAGGGGAAGGCTAGTTCAAAAACCCTCTCCACCATTGCTATGCGTCTTAGCTGGGGACAATCTTGTGAGTTCCCGGGGTTTTCCATAGCTGCAGATTTCTCCCCATCCCCTTAATGGAACATTCTGTCAAGATAATCTCTTTCACTGCTCTTAACCCCAAGTCTTTGTGTCAGTTTGCTAATAATGTGGGGGAATGATAGTTTCAAGTGGGCTCTGCTAAACAGTTCTAGGACTGACAGAGTTCAATCATGTCTGAGATCAATCATCCAGTAGTCCAGAAACTATAAATATTCAACTTCAGCTAACCTACTTCATCCTCCAGCAGTCTCAGTCTGGAGCATTCTCGATGCAGGCATGGACAGGGAGAGCAAGAGCTAGACTGAGAGCATTCCCCACACCGCTGCTTCCATAATCTTTATCCAAATTGGCAGAAGCAATTCTAACTCAGAATTGAGGAAGCCCCAAAGCCAAAGGTTCTGTGAAAGCCCCTACAAAGAGTATAGGAATGGGATTAAATGAGAGCCATTTAATCAATTGCTAAATTAGTGCTGAGGAACTAGCGTTCAAACACAACTCTTCCCCGGCATTTGTTCAAGTAAATCGTAATTCTGAGTGATAATGTTGCTTCAGGTTTTTGCAATTCCCAAACTTACCGGAAAATCAGAAGGAAATGCTAGTGATTTAGTTCTAATAATTAGTTGTTATTTAAAAATTGAACAATAGTTAGCAGGATGTATTAGCAATTCAGCTTAGACGTTCACTGTGCTGTGTTTGAAACATCCTAAGGAAATTCTTTGTGTCATGGGAAAAATTAAACTAAATCTTGCTGCGTTTGCTGCCTCACTTCTCGTCTAGTTGGAGTTGTGACAGATTTATTTGCTTTGTGCTTGGCGTCTAAGTCAGTCTCTGAGTCCCAAACTGCCTTTTCCTTCTATAATGGTTGGGTTCAACATCAATTTGCCACAAATTGGAATCATCCGAGTAGGGAGCCACAGCTGAAGAAATGTCCTGGCTGCTTTGACTGATGTGGGAAACCCCACGCCAACTGTGTCAGGGTATTTCGGAAGGAAGATCATCTCATCCCTCGCCGGACTGGTCTTCTCTCCTGCCGCTGAGTTGATTTATCCGGTTGTTGCCTCTTTGCTCATATCAGAACCAGTGTTTTCGAGTGAGCTTTCATTTTGGACTAGGGACCACCAGCTCTCGAGAACCTTCCAGCTGTGGGACTTCTGAGGAATCCCACCTGCCTTGTGGACTGAGAAACTACTGGTTGTCGCCCCGCTTTCCCCGCCCCTCACTGAGAGACAGTTAGTGTAGGAATTATTGAATTCCAATATATACATATATTCATCACTCTCGTTCTGTTTCTCTAGAGAACTCTGCCTAAACATCATGTTTCTTTTTATCTTTAGTAACTTTAGTATTTTGACATTCTTAATTAAGGCTAATAAGTTCTGATCTATTTATTTCTACTGTATCATTTATATGGGACCTTCTATTCACTCAGAATTCTTTAAAATTCTGCTCTTTTTGTTTGCTAATTGTTCCTATTCATCCTGTTATATAATATACTTCTACCATTATGTAATGTACTTCCTTATATTAATAATTCATGATGTATGTTACCGTGTAAAATACACATAGTCCACAATAGTAGGACCTGAATAGAGAAAAATAATAATTTAGCATAATGTAATATATACTGTATTGAATTATGTGTTTATATATTCATACAT